CTGAAAATTTCAAGTTTCTGTGGTTTTTGGTTTCGGAGATATGACCTTATTCTTCAGGTAATGTCATAACCCAAATGACAAATACCCAATATCTTGCGTTGGCGTTGGGTCTTGTGAGCTTTTGACACCTTGATTTCGGCCTTTTTTGTCAGTCTTACCTCCCACCTATCATGGAACATGTTGTTCAATGATGTAGAGATGCCAGGGTCAGGGTCAAGGTCAACCTAGGTCGTCTAAAAATATTGCGTTTTAGGCAAGCTGAATTTACTTTCGTGAAGTTTCTTTGACTGTATTTTTGGCAAAAGCTTCTCAGTTCATGATCTCATGTAATATGGACACATTCACAGTCGGTGCACACATCAGTATACTCGTACACACAGACACACACAGACATACAAACACATGTCATTGACCTTGAGCTAACTTGACCTGAAATGACCACAGCCAGCAAAAACCTAGTCGGATAGTGTGACAAAGAGGTTCTAGCTGGCTTGGCACCACAATACGGCAGCGTCATCGGTACATGATGAGCAGCGCACGTGATATTCCAACGGGCAACGGTGACCCCAAACAGCAACATTCTTTAGTTTGACCTGACCTGGAAGGTCAATGACTGACCTGATGAGGTAAAATTGGTATCATTGGATTCGTCACTTCCCAAAGAATCTGTTGCTCTTGACCGCAAGGCTTAAAATCTTGTAAGAAAAAATTGTGGTGATGTCGAATAAGATACCTACACAAGCAGCGGGCCAACCCATCATATACCGATGACGCTGCCGTATTAGTGCCAAGCGAGCTAGAACAGCTCTTTGTCACACTATCCGACTAATTTGCTGGCTGTGGTCATTTCACGTCAAGTTAGGTCAAGGTCAATGATATGTGTTTGTATGTCTGTGTATGTCTGTGTATGTACTGATGTGTGCACAGATCGGTTTGTGTGTCCCTATTACACTTGATCATGAACTGAGAAGCTTTTACTAAACATACAGTCAAAGAAACTTCACGAAAAGTAAATTCAGCTTGCCTAAAGCGCAATAATTTTAGATGACCTAGGTTGACCTTGACCCTGACTCTGACATCTGTACATCGCAGAACAACATGTTCAATGATAGGTGGGAGGTAAGACTGGCAAAAAAAAAAAGCCGAAATCAGCGTGTCAAAAGCTCACAAGGCCCATAGCCATCGCAAGATATTGGGTATTCGTCATTTAGGACATGACATGACCTGAAGAACAAGGTCATATCTCCAAACCCAAATGCCGCAGAAGCTTGGACGCTGAGAAAAGATAGAAAAGCAGCTATACAAAGAAAATCAGGTTTCTAGCTTTAAAAATGTTAAGTGTAGAGCAGAAAAACTAACTTGGGGGTGGCGACCCTCCCCCCAGGTGCCGGCGAAGGTTAACCCTCACACTTTCTGGGGTCGGCTTACGGCTAGATTCCTTGCGCAATGCTGTGCCGTTAATTTTTTTTCTATTATAAAGGCATTGTGTTTTATTGTCAAAAGTGAAAAAGCCAGAAATTTTCGTCGATTTCGGATGCCGCGGGGGATATTTACATACAATGTCACCCTGCTGGCCTGGATCCACCAGTAGGGTCAGGTGACCTACCATTTCTTTATCGATATTAAAAAAAAAAAAATCATGGCATCAGAGCTGTGACGAAAAATAAGTGGCCTAAATCCGATGAGAAAACTGGATTTGGGGGTACCCCATGTTTGGCTTCTGAGCCTCTGGTCCCCCAATGAAAATTTCTTAGAGGAGGCCCTGGCGTGGCTCGTAAATTACCGCTTCCGCAATTGGAGGCCCCTAATTGCTTGGAGGCCCCCACTAAATGGAGGCCCCCTTGGACGTTTGGGACCCCAATGGTGATGTCAAAGTTTCACCCATGTAAACCTTTTATTGGGTCGAAACAGGGCTGCGGAGTCGGAGTCGGAGTTGGAGTCGGTCAGAGTCGACAGTTCTGCCCGGAGTCGGAGTCGCCAAAATCTTACCGACTCCGACTCCGGAGTCGGAGTTAAAGGGACACTCCCACCTTAACATTAGTTTTGAGTTGAGATAGCCAAATTGGTGGCCATGGCCTGCAAATACCGGTTTGGGCACTCACAACATCGACAAATGCTTTAATTCGGAGATATGGAATTTCAAACTTGCAGTTTTCGGATTCTAAGGGGCTAGTGCATTGGTATGCCCCCTTAGAATTTGTGACGTCAGCGGAGATCTAACGATTTTTAAATCTTTTACTAAAACGTTTGGTAGCACGCGGTGGTATATGCTGCTTTGCGCGCAACAAATGCCGCACTTTCAAATAAAGTCGCTAGGAACAGCGGAGATCCCAAAAAGTAAACAAAAGTAAAAGTCTAATATCTGAAAACCGGTGAATATTTTTCGATGAAATTTGGTAGATATTCGTTTTCGCTCTTTCTGAACCGAGCGACATCACTTTCGTGCCAATTCATTAACTTTTTTGAAGGTGGGAGGGTCCCTTTAACGCTGCATGGCTCAGCGTCATGCACTGCACCTATTTAACCCTCGTCCGTAGGGTGAGGTGCCTAATTAGGAACCCCCTTAACCCGCGCCCCAGTGGCGATCTCAGTCAACTTCGCCCTAGTGGGGGGGGGGGGCATATGCTACCACCCACCTCTAACTCAAAAACTATAGAGGGCTAGAAAGACGCGGTAAAAAGCAGTCGATAGCTCTTAATGCGTACGTTTGAAAGTATTTCGGTCATTTTTCATCTTAGAGCAATATTGGGGTCACTGAAGGTCATCAAAGGTTAAAATTTGTCAAATGTCATTATATTTTTCAGAAAACATGAATTTATCCCAGGAACTATGATAGCTAGAAAAACGCATGGAATAGCAATCGATAGCTTTTAAACTCTTCTTTCGATAACGTTATCATCAAAATTGACCTCAGGTCAACGGTTTAGCCTCCAGAGGGCAAAAACTCCAAAATAGCTGTTTTTACGAAAAGTGTTTTTCGACAATAACTTTTGACTAAAAAAAAAGCCAAGACATTTCTATTACCAGAATCATGTTCCTCTTGCCAAGACGCATCAAATGAATTATAATTTGACCTTGAAAGGTCAACTTGAAAATTTGACCTCAGGTCAAGGTCATGACCTGACCGGAAAAGGTCATGTTGCATATCAGTCGATGCGTCTCGGCAAGACAAACACAATGAGACCATCCCCAGCGTTCTATGTCTTTCCATTCGAGAGTTACTGGCAAAAAGCTGTTTGTAGCCTCAAATGACCTCGGATGACCTTTCTAGAGGCTATCAGCAAAAAAGACACCTTGGTCGTCACGGGTGGTCCAAATCATTGTAATTCTGAAATATTTGGACTGTTCCTATGCGTACACACGGATTTAGAGGCATTTTCATTTTTCTCCATTGACTTATAATGGTAAGGTCACGCCACTGGCCTGACCTTAGGTCACGGATATGAAAAATCCGAGATATACAAATTATAGGCGCCTATAACATCATGCAATCCACCAAGTTTAAAACCTTTCTGACCAACACTGCAGGCTGGACATGATTGCAAACTTTTTTAGGTTTGGTCAGTAAACTTGACCTGGTGACCTGACCTGACATGACCTGGGGTCAAAAATTTCACAAATTGTCCAAAATTGATGTACGGTTCTCCAGGGTATTAGTCGTTGGTCGCTCGGCGAGCGGGAGGGCAACCAGTTCCGCCCCTGTATCGCGTGACCCCTTGCTCCGCCCAGTTACGCACGAGCGTATATACAGTAGGTCTATTAAAAAAGTCCCCAGCACCAGTGGGCGCTGCCTTCGCTGAGCCGAACCCCCGTCTGCCCGTCCCATATCGCGCCGGGCTCAGGTCAGGTAGGGTCAGCGGGACCGCTCGGTCCGGCCCGCGGGCGGTGGACGGGCGACCGGTAACGCTTTCCGCCAGCCAGCTGTAGAATCCAACAAACGGGACGGCCACCGCTCAGCGCAGCGAAACCGGTGTTAATCAATGGCAGTAGATGTTCATGGCCACAATGATTATGAGCTAGTCATTGTTAGCCCGTGCCCCACAGGAATGCCTGGACTCTCAAGCCCTGTTGGAGTGGAAATGGGGATTAAGCATCATTCTTCGGTGTAGCTATGACGAGCATTCTTATTTTTTCTGAGGTGCGGTCACTTGGCGTGACCTGGTGACCTGACCTAAGGTGACCTGGGTCTGAAATTTTCACAACATGTGCAGAAAAGATGCACGAACAGGTATGCCAAAAACCGCCGTTTTTGAGATATCTGCGAAAAACCGCAGGGGGGGGGGGGTGTTCAAACACCCCCCGGCCCGGCGCGGGTTAAAATTTCATGACCCTGACCCAAATGACCTTTGACCTGTGACCAACCTTTTTTCCGAGACCATGTTTGGCCGGAATCGCGATTCGGCGTATGTCGGCTGGCATTAGCCGCGCGTTTGCAAGCTTTTCGTGGTTTCAAGCGTTCAAACATGTGATTTGATGTTGCTCTCATACATTAGGGTGGGTTTCAAGGTCACCTGAAGGTCAGATCATGTCATTGACCTTTGGTGACCTCGGGTGGCGTCGGTTCACTTTTTCGAGTTTTACATGTTTTTAGGCTAGTTTTTGGAGCTGAATTCGAATTTAGCAACCATTTGAACATTTACGAAGTAATTTTGGTGCCTTCGTAACATGTTACGAAGCTGCTAGAGGCGGTTGACAAGTAGGGTAGTGAGCCTAAAATGAGTATACGCAAAAAATGAGTATAGTTTTGGAAAATGTGCATTACGCCAAAGTTATTTTGAACAAAAATAAGAAAAAATACACAGTGCGTCCGAAGGTCTACTGCAACAGTTGCAAATACGTCCATCGCCAAATGTCAAGCGACTTTGGTCTGAAAAATGATTGAATGCTTTTTTCAAAAATGTCACAAAAAGTACATGCTAAAAAGTGAAGCCTGGTGAAAATATGTGCACTGCTGAAATAATATTACCTTTTCAGCTGTTTGTCTCATGTACTGAGCTTGCTGGCAGCCGTAAAAAATAATCGAAAATTCGAAAGCGTAATGCAAAAATTTTAGCATTTGTAAATTTCTATAAAATGAGTATAGTTCCACAAAGTGTTGCAAAAAATGAGTATAGTATGAAAAGTGTGAATTTGAGCATGGCTACTCCACCGCCTGCTAAATATCGCCCCCAAAGACATTTCCGGGATTATTTTGGTTATGATTACGATCTACCGGCCATCTTCGATGGCCACAATGACTGACGCTGCAGCGTATTTGTAAGCGCGATACGGTAAGCGTTGGAACTCGTTTCGGTCGATTCTCATTTGCTTGAGCTTCAGTCACCGATCTTTTTTTCTTTTTCATTTTCCTTTATTTTTTATTATTATTTTATTTTTTATAGTTAAGCGGTGACATTAAATGCTTTATCTACTCCTGGCCATTTTGGCGAAATACCGTACAACCGGATGTGACGTCATGTGATCTGCGACCACCAGTGCCCTCTCCACCAATCAGGAGTCACCGGAAATGGCACTGTGACCTGTCACGTGACCAGCACCGGCTCGACCAATCAGGAGGCGTTTCCGGCGACAGAGGTGACTCCGAGGGTCGGCTGAGCTTTTCGCGTCCTTTTTGCACTGATCGTCGTCTCGTGCGCGTGTCCTGCTGGCATACGGCAAAAACTGGTGAGTTTTGAATGGCATTAGTCTTGGATTCTCCTTCAGTGATAATTTGTTGTGTATTGCTTACAATCTGATTTCAACTTAAAAAAAAAAAAAAATTATATCAGGTAATCATTCTGGTTTGTAGCGGTTCGCAATTTAGTATGCCCTCAGAACTCTTGATATATTGGGTAATGTTTGGTCATACGGGACCTGCTGAAGGACCTGCCGACCTGAGCTGCGGGCCTCTGCCTGCCGAGTATCGTCGTCATTGATTCAAAAGCACTGGTGTAAACGCGCACATTCCTGGCACGAATTATTAAACAATGACCTCTTTTTTGTCAGGTGGCACCAATCGTCATGCCGAAATACACGGAGGAAGATCTGGGCAGAGCGAAGAAGCTCGTCGCGGATGGATTCACCGTCTACAAGGCAGCCAAGGACACCGGCGTGCCGTACGAGACGCTCCGCCGTCACATCTTCGGCATCAACGTCACCGGCTCCACTGGCTCTGGGCGACCGACGGTGCTGACGAGGACCGAAGAGGACAAGCTGGTGGAAATCCTCGCTTACCTCGCCCGCCAAGCATTTCCACTGGACACCAGTGACATCTGCGATCTGGTCCAGCAGTTCCTGAACAACCTCGGCAGAGAGACGCAGTGGAAGGACAACAGGCCCACCCGCTTCTGGCTGTCACGTTTCAAGGCTCGTCACGCCGGTGTCCTCGCGTCGCGCAAACCGGAGATCCTCACCATCACTCGTGCCAAGTCTCTGACAGAGGAAGTGGTTGGCGCCTTCTTCTCCATGTACAACGGGGTGCTCGTCGACCTGGGACTCGAGGACAAGCCGGACAACATCTACAACCTCGATGAGACGGGACTCTCGACCGATCCGCGCTCGACAAGGGTCATCGTCCCCAGCAAGTCCCGTGACGCCTACCTGAAGACGGCCAGCTGTGGTAAGGCGACATACAGCGTCCTCTTCTGCGTGAACGCCACTGGAAACTACTTCCCACCCTTCGTCGTCTACAAGGCCAAACGTGAGCCCTTTGACTCGTGGATGCGTGGCGGACCGCCAGGAACGGCCTATGGGACGACACCGTCAGGCTGGATGGAGGGCAACATATTCGAGAGCTGGTTCCAGACCATCTTCGTCCCAGAGATCACCAAGAAGCATGATGGTCAGCCCACAGTGCTCGTCTATGACGGTCACGGATCCCACATGACGTATCGGACAGCAGCGCTTGCGAAGGACAACAACATCACGGTGGTATGTCTTCCGCCACACACCAGTCACGCCATCCAGCCTCTCGACGTCGCCGTGTTCAAGCCGGTCAAGGTCGCCTGGGCGCAAATCCTGAAGCGGTGGCAGCGTGAGTCACGACTCGTCGCTGTCGACAAGTCGGTGTTCCCGACTCTCATCTCCCAGCTGTGGAAGGAACTGGATCCGGTCCACGCCGTGGCCGGATTCCGCGGCTCGGGTCTGTTCCCAGTCGACGCTGAGAAGGTTCGCAGCCGGATGGTGGGACCCGGGAGCACGTCACGTGATGACATCCCGTCACCTGATGAGGCGCTCCAGAATGCTGTGCTCAGTGTTCTCAGTCCGGAACAGTCAAGTGAGACGAAGGCGGCCCTGGCCAACAAGACGAAACGCCGCAGCCGAGTTCAAAACAAGAGCGGCGAGGTCTTGACGTCAGAGTCTTCTCTGCAGAGGCTCGAGCTGGAGGCGGCGAAGCGCGCAGAGAAAGGGAAGAAGTCTCCGTCGTCACAGCAGGACAGGAAACTCTCCAAGAAACGCGAAGAGAAGGGAAAGAAGCGGTCTTCGTCGCACAAGATCGAGAAGCCATCCGCGAAGCGAAAAGTGACCAAACTGACGACTCGATCGAAGTAGAGGGGGTAAAGCTCACGCAGGCTTTTGGAAATGTGGCGGTGCCCGTTCGCCACGCCACTGTGACCGTGGTTGGTGTTGTGGCCATTGTCGGTTGTGTTTGTTGTTGTCTGCTCAAGTCATCTATGTGTCTTAATAAATTGAAACGACCGGTAATACATTTTCTTGATTTTTTTTTACATTTCAATACTTGTATTGTTAGCAACACCGATTTCATATCCACGTTCCAGGCGAATTTCAGCGTCGCAAATCCAGCAGATTAGGCACAATAGAGCGTTGAAACAACTGTACTCATTTTTTGCGAAGGAGCAAAAAATGAGTATAGCCGACATTGGTCAGAAGATGCAATTATTACAGAACAACCGCTCGTCTGACACCGTTGTGCCACATAGGACGTCGTAGTCAGAACACGTAATGTCAATGTCCCATATAGCCATTATTCACACCCTTTCTAGTTTTGAATATATTTAACTGGTAATGTAAAACTATACTCATTTTAGGCTCACTACCCTATTACGAATACCCGTCACAACCCCTACCGGTTGACCTGACCTGACCTGACCCGACCTGGTCTAAATGCTTAAAGACATCATCTCTGATCAAAACTGACACGATATTCGTGATCAGCACCCCGGAAAACCACAAAGCAGTCACACTTTACGACTTTCTAACAGGTCCCGATTTTCCCGGTTTTCGGGTCATTGACCTGACCTGGAAGGTCACCCGATGACCTAGGACCTTAAAATTGGGTATCATCGGCTTCCTCTCGTGACGGGCAACATGCTCGTTTTCCGCGAAGCTCTAGCTCTATCAGGGGCCAAACGCGAGGGGGGGTCGTACCAACCCCCCCCCCCCTTGTGCCGTCGAAGGACGCAAAATGGCCTGTGCCGGCGAGGGCTAACCATCGCTTATATTGGTGTTTTTTTCTTATTCTTACCTCGTTGGGTTCCTCTTTGCCTCGCTTGTCCGGATAGGAAGGGGTCAAGCTAGGTGGATGTAAGGAACCCTAAATGAAAGAGACGCGCCAGTCCAAATGGTGACAGACAAGAAATAATAACATTTAATAATGGACCGGAAATTGCGCCTCGCGAAACATAGTCGTACAAGATAGACCTACATCATATAAGAAAAACAAGTTGTAAGACGATACCTACCTATACAGTTATCATTACCACAACACAGTTCGCATTTTCATATAAGTTAATCTACATAATCGAACAGTTTGCTACGAATACATGTATCGAGAATGCGTTTTAGGCTATTAACCCTCGCACGACCAGGCCATTTCTCATAACACGAACGACCAGGGGGGGGGTTGTTACGACCCCCCCCCTGGCGTTTCGAAACGGAAGGTCGTAGAGCTTAGCGGAAAAAACCAACGGATTGCTCTCAACGAGATCTCGCGATTGGTGGTATATTTTTTGGTCCTAGGTCAACATTTGACCTACTTTTGACCGGTCAAATGTCAAATTTTCGGAAAAATAGATTTTTTCAACTTTCGGCGGCGATTGCGGCAAAACGATGGGAGATATCGACTTGAAACCTTCACTATCGTGTTCCTTGATCAATTCTCTATCGTTTGGTATGTATTTCGTTTCCCTAGCTCTAAAAATGGCGCGTTGGGAGCGCCGGAAGTCGGCAAGGTCACAGTCGGCGGCAGAAATTCGAAAAATCAAAATTTAAATTTTTGAAATCTGATTGTATTTTTGGATTTGGGAGGTCCATTTGCTCCCTATAGAAGCTAATATTGCTGCATATTCCCATTGAGGTGACAAGAATTAGCAAAATAGTGGTTCGGGCGCTTTTCAAAAATAGTACCGGACGCTGTTCCTCTTGTGACGTCATAGCTCCGTGACCAGACCTGACCCGGTCAAATTTCTTATACCATATGATAGCCAATACTTGCCCCAACATGCATGGGAAGTTTCATCACGATCCATCAACCGATGTCCGTACCACCGGCAGGAAACCTCGGGCGTTGGCACTCAGTTTGTGAAAATCCGGCCGGAGGCTGTACCTCTTATGACGTCATAACTCCGTGACCTGACATGACCCGATCAATTTTTTTTTTCGGCAAAAGATGCGCAAAGGTTGCCCCAGAGGGTATTGAAAATTTCAGCCCGCTACGACAAGCCGTTTGGCGTGCACTTCGAAAAAAACCTCAGGGGGGGGGGTTGATACAACCCCCCCCCCTAGGCGTTCTAGGGTTAATACTAGTCGCGCATGCTGCCTCTGCAGGCAGCTCATTCCATATGCGAATACAGCGAACAGAAAAAAAAAGCGCTTGCGAGTGTCAGTTCTGGTGGCTGGGGGAAATATCTTACATCCGTGACCCCTGGTGCCGCTGCGATAGGGCCTCTGGAAAAGGTCATTAGGATTGATACACGAGTGGTTATTTAGGATTTTCCAGTACTGGATCAGGTCGGCCCGCAGCAGTCTACCCTGTACCGAATAGAGGTCCAATGCAGCTAACCTTTCACCATAGTTAAGTCCAGTCATTCCACCAATGTGTCTCGTCCATCTCCGCTGAACCCGTTCAAGAAGTCGAAGGTCTTGTACATACCCAGTATTCCAAATGCAAGAACAGTACTCCATGATTGGTCGGATGTGGGTTGTGAGAAGGGACAGCATAAATTGAGGAGAGCGACACACTGTGGACTTAAGTAGGCTTTCAGCTAGGCCACCCGCCTTATGGGCTACATTTCGGATGTGGTCATGAAACTTCATGGTGACATCAACAAGGACGCCCAAGTCAGAGGCCTTGCTTGCTGGAGTTATCGGAGCACCATTCAGGATGTAGGATGGCTGGCTAATGTTAGGACAAGGTCTAGCAAAGCGTAGGACCACACATTTCTTGGCGTTCATGTGCAAACCCCACGATGTGGCAGTCCTCAGCAAAACGTCGATATCATGTTGAACGGAGTGGTACATAGGGGAGCCCGGTGCCGAGTCACGTTTGTGCTCAAAGCTGCTGTATATTTTCAGATCATCTGCAAAGATTTTGTAGTCGCATTTAAGATCGGATGCAATGCTATTCACATAAATAAGGAAAAGGATCGGGCCCAGCACAGACCCCTGGGGCACACCACTGAGTACAGGTCTGGAACTGCTTGATTTGCCCTTGACACATACCCTCATGAACCTGCTTGTGAGGAATGAAATTATCCATTTCAAAAGATTTCCATTGATATTTAGGCTTATCAGTTTATCTATAAGCAATTCATGAACAACTACATCAAACGCTTTACTAAAATTGAAGAGAACAACATCCGTTACCGCACCCTCATCTGTCCGTCTTGACACGTCATCATAGACCAGTAGCAGTTGGTCCATTGTAGACCTTCCAGACCTGAACCCGAACTGGTGAGGACTGATAATCTCATTTGACTCCAGATAGGGAACAAGTGATTTACAAATTAAGCGCTCCATCAGTTTGCACGGCACGGCACAGAGGTAAGACTTATCGGTCGGTAGTTGAGAGGGTCAGACCGTACACCTTTCTTAAACAAGGGAACAACAAGAGACCTCTTCCAGCTATCTGGTAAGGTACCTTCTCGGAGGGATCTGTTGAAAATGGTCATCAAAGGTTGAGCCAACTGATCAGCACACTTCTTCAATAAGAGAGGGTGAATGTCATCAGGTCCCATGGCTGAGTTTCCATCAAGCTCGAGAAGACTCTTTAACACATCTTCACGGGAAATAGCAATGTGTTCAAGTGAGGATTCGTGAAATTGTTGGTGTGGGCTTGGTTCGGATGGGATAGAGCGGCTATACACGGATGAGAAAGACTCAGCAAAAATCTCAGCCATGCAGGAGGGATCATCACTCAGTTGGCCCGATGACAGCTGCAGCGGTCCAACCGAAGGACGGCCAACCTTCTTATGCCTAAGGTAAGAGTGGAATAGTTTAGGCTGTTCATGGGATTTACGGAGAAGGTCTTCTTCATATTTGGCTTGGGCATTAACAGCATGGGCACGGCATCGCTGGTTAATACTGGCAAAGGTGGAGTAGCAGGAACGGGCCTCTGTGGACTTTCGACCCAGACGCCCCCTCACTGTCTTGTAATGGGACCATGCCTCGTGTCTTTGGTTGAGAAGGCTAGCAGGAGGCCTAGTTGACCAAGGAGGCCTTCCTTTTCTATGGGGTTTGAGAGGGATGCATTCCACTGTAACACTGTGTAAGATGGCTGAAAATCGTTCAAAAGATTGATTAGCATTTAAATAAGCAAGCTCAACATCCCAGTCAACATCGTTTAGATTGCGGGCTGCGGAGTGGTAGTGTCCCTTGTTCCAATCCCTTGACAAGGTTGACGGACCAGAAAAAAGAGTCCCATCTGGAGATATATCGAAGATGTAATCAAATGATATCAAACAGTGATCGCAACCAGGCAGTGGAGCAGATACGTTGAGAGAGCCTACTCTGTCAGACTCTGAAGTGAGAAGCAAATCAAGGACATTCCCAGACCTGGGAAAGGTGGGCTCCATAATCCATTGGTGAAGACCAACAGCTGTGAATGTGTCGAGGAACATTCTTTCAAGGGGAGTACAGGAAGGGTTTGAACGACTCCAGTCAATGTTAGGCAGGTTGAAGTCTCCGGCAACGATAACCTCTTTGCCACTGCAGAAGTCTAGTATGAATGAGTTCAATGATTCATTAGCATCAGAGGAATTAGAGGGGGCTCTGTAAACGATCAGTATAAAAACATCAAAGGATGTAAGACGAAAAGAGAGTACATTTGGAAGAGGTTGAGTCACAGAATCAACCATCAAGCTGTTGTGAATGTAACTGCATACACCATGTTTGTACACATGGCCACTGGCATCATGCCTGATCAGGGAATAATTGGGAATATCTACAATGGAGCTAGGAAGGTGAGCGAGGAGATGGGTTTCGGTGACGCATATGATGTCCCACAGATGGATTCCAACATTGTCTTTCAGAATATTCAACTTGGGAGCAAGGCCATTGACATTGGTGGACATGATCCTTAGGATTTTGGTACTATTAAGGGTAGTCACGTAGTCAGTGGCGCTAACTAGTTTCCCTGGGGGGTAGGTTGCGGAGCACTCTCCGTGGAGTGTGCTTGGGGAAGGTTTCCTCCGCCAGAGTTTCTCACAGGAACCTTTTGAGCATTTTGAGCCTCCGTCTGCTTAGCCTTCCTG